CTTTTTTTTTTTTTTTTTTTTTTAATCAAAGTAGAAAGCACGCATTGTCTTTCATTTGAAGGGGGAATTTTATCAGATCCGCATAAAAGACTAGTACTTTCTGATTAACTTTAGCAGTTTTGACATGCATGAGAAGAAGCAAAGATATCTATCTTATTGTCTTGAGTTTAGTTTTCAATTATTCAAGGTTAACTGATGGCCCAACGGAGTCAACAGTAGTACCACCATGTATTTTGTTGCAGGAATAACAAGGAAAACAACAGTAAAATAATAGAATAATTGAATATTTTCTTTAAAAATTTTGCTTTTTAACTTATGAGTCTTATAAAACATAAATTGCAAGGGTTCCAGTATCAATTTATTTTTTTATTGTTTTACTTACTGATTTTAGAGAGAGAGAGATAAAGAGAGAGAGAGAAAAACATCAATTTGTTGTCCCACTTATTTATGCATTCATTCATTGATTTTTTAAAATTTAACTTGATTTTAGAGGGAGGGGAAGGGAGATAAACATTACTTTGTTCCACTTATTTATGCATTCATTGGTTGATTCATTTTTTATTTTTTTTTTAATTTATCTTTATTATTGAGAGTATTACAGATGTGCCCCTTTCCCCCGCCCATTGTTCCCCTCCACCCTGCACCTACCCCGCCCCAAGGCCTTCCCCATACTATTGTCTGTGTCTATGGGTTATATGTTTATGCATATAAGTTCTTTGATTAATCTCTCCCCACTCATTCCCCTACCTTCCCTCTAAGATTCATCAGCCTCCGGATTTATTTTGCTCATCAGTTTATTTTGTTCATTATATTCCACATATAAATGAGATCATGTGGTACTTGTGTTTCTCTGACTGGCTTATTTTGCTTAGCATAATACTCTCCAGTTCCAGCCATGCTGTCCCAGAGGGTAAGAGATCCTTCTTTTTTACAGCTGCATAGTATTCTATGGTGTAAGTGTACCACAGCTTTTTTATCTACCTATGTATTGATTGGCACTTGAGCTGTTTCTAGATCTTAGCTACTGTAAATTGTGCTGCTATGAACGAACATAGGGGTGTATAAATTCTTTCTGATTGGTGTTTTGGGTTTCTTAGGATATATTCCTAAAAGTGGGAACACTGGGTCAAATGGCAATTCCATCTTTAATTTTTTTGAGGAAACTCAATGACAGTGTTACCTCCTCCTTTGCAATTTGGATGCCTTTAATGTTTACTTCTTGTCTGATCGCTGTGACTAGGATTTCCAGTACTGTGTTGAATAAGAGTGATGAAAGTGGACACCCCTGTCTTGTTCCTGTTCTTAGGGGAAATGGTTTTAGTTTTTGCCCATTGAGTATGATGTTGGCTGTAGGTTTGTCATATATGGCCTTTATTATGTTGAGGTATGATCCCTCTCTTTCCACTGTGCTGAGAGTTTTTATCCAGAATAGGTGTTGGATTTTGTTCAGTGCTTTTTCTGCATCTGTTGATATGATCGTGTGATTTTTTTTTTTTTTTTTGTCTTTCCATTCGTTTATGTGATGTATCACATTTATTGATTTGCGAATATTGTACCAGCCTTGAATCCCTGGAATAAATCCCATTTGGCCATGATGTATGATCTTTTTAATATATTACTGGATACAACTTGCTAATATTTTGTTGAGGATTTTAGCGTCTATGTTCATCAGGGATATTGGCCTGTAATTCTCATTCTTGTTTTGGAATTAGGATAATGCTGGACTCATAAAAAGAGCTTGAAAGTATTCCTTCCTCCTGGATTTTTTGAAATAGTTTGAGAAGGATAGGTGTTTGTTGTTCTTTGAATGCTTGGTACAACTCCCCTGTGAAGCCATCTGGGCCAGAGTGTTTGTTTTTTGGGAGTTTTTCTATTACTGCTTCAACTTCATGACCTATTATTGGCCCATTCAGGTTCTCTGATTGTTCCCGTCTCAACTTCGGAAGATTTTATTTTCCTAGGAATTTGTCCATTTGGTCCACATTGTCCAGCTTGCTGGCATATAGTTGTTTATAGTATTTTCTTACAATTCTTTGTATTTATGTGGTGTCAGTTGTTACTTCACCTCTTTCATTTCTGATTTTATTTATTTGGGTCCTCTCTCTTTGTTTCTTGATGAGTCTGGCTAACGGTTCATCAATCTTGTTTGTCTTTTCAAAGAACCAGCTCTTGGTTTCATTGATCTTTTGTATTTTTTTTATTATTCTCTATTTCATTTATTTCTACTCTTCTCTATATTATTTCCTTCTATTTACTCTGGGCTTTTCTTGTTCTCTTTCTAAGTCTTTAAGTTGTAGGGTTGTAGAGTGTATTAGAAGTTTTTCTTGTTTTTTTGAGGTAAGCCTGTAGTGCTATGAACTTCCCTCTCAGGACTGCTTTCACTGTGTCCCACAGATTTTGGGTTGTTGTGTGTTTGTTTGCATTTGATTCCAGGAAGTTTTTTATTTCTTCCTTGATATCTATTGCCATTTTAATTATTTATGACTATGTTTCTCTATTTCTACTTATTCAGCAGACCCTTTAACATTTGGTGGTGATCACCTCCTTTAGACTCATTTTGTCTGGGAAGCTCTTTATTTCACCATCTATCTTGAATGATAGCCTTGCTGGATAGAGAGGTCTTGGTTTCAGATCCTTCCTTTTCATTACCTTGAATACTTCATGCCATTCCCTTCTGGCCTGTAGAGTTTCTGAGGAGAAATCTGCTGAGAGCCTTATGGGAACTCCTTTGTAGGTAACAGATTGCTTTTCTCTTGCTGCCTTTAAGATTCTCTGTCTTGAATTTTTTGCATTTTTATTATAATGTGTCTAAACGTGGGCCTCTTTGGGTTCTTACTTGGGACTCTCTGTGCCTCCTGAACTTGTGTGACATTTTCCTTCATCAGGTTAGGGAAGTTTTCTGCCATTATTTCTTCAAACAGTTTCTCTGTCCCTTGCTTACTTTCTTTCCCATCTGGTACTCCTATGTTACATTGCATGTTGTCCCACAGCTGTCCTCCTGTTTTTTAATTGTTTTTTCTTTTTGGATCCCTGATTGATTTTTTTCTGTCCTGTCTTCTAATTCACTGATCTGATCCTCAGCCTCCTCTAATATGCTGTTTATTCCTTCCAATGTATTCTTTATTTTTGCTATGTCATTCTTAATTTCCTTCATAATGTAACATACTACCCTCAGCCAAAGCAAAAATAACATTTCCAAGAGCAGAAAATGACTTGTTGATGTTCTTAGTTAGCTTCATCCAACACAGCGCTTTCAGGTCCAGTTTTACTAATCTTTTCACCACTAGCTAAATCAACCAGATGAAGTTTTCTCCTCATTTTTACTCTGTTTGTGTGTTTTTTTGTTTTACATTAATAAGAAATATATTGTGACTCCTAGAGCTCTGTTCATTCATATTTGTAACTGCTATATGTCATCTGGACTACATGCAGAACTCTCTGTGCATCCTTTTACATAGGGGGCTCGGTTTTTATATTCATGAACTGAAAAGTTGGACTTTGAAACATCTAATAGGACCCTTATTTTATTCAAATAAATTTTAAAATATGAAACCTTAATATGAAATTCTAAAATTTTCATCGATGGAATAAATATAATTAAAAATATTTTGCACTGTTCTTGGAATAATGCCCATGCCTTGTGGGTCATGAAGTTTTCCCTCCACTGTGTGTATCTTCCCAGAGGATGTCTGTCCATATGCAATTATTGTTCTGTTGTATCCCTCAAGTACATCTTTAACAATCTTCTTTGCACAATCATCATGCACTTGCTCTTGAGATGTGTTTGACTGGAATACTTGATCAAATGCATAAGACTTGGTCACAGTCATGACTGTGTCTTCTCCCTGAATCTTGGTGATATACTTATTACCGCTGTTCACTTCAGACTCGTTGAGAGATCTGAAGTGACACATCACTTTGATGTTGCACTGTGCCAGGTTTGCCAGTTTCCTCACTGTGGGGCCAGAGGCTGGGAGCCATGCTCCGCTGATGAGACTTGGAGGAAGCAGGCCCTAGCTGCTGGGGGTTTAGGGTCAGGAAGGCTGAGGGAATCAGGCCCCGGAGTTGCGATTTCCCATGAGGGGGCGGCGGGATGACGGGGACTGGAACGGCTTGCAGCCACTGCCCTGAGGCTTGCTTCTGATCCAT